GTTTGTATGTATGTATGTGTGCGTGCGTGTGTGGGGGACACCTAGTTATATATGTATATATTAATAAGTACATGAATTAACTAAAGTAATGCAACGTAAAATAAGAAAAGACAATACAAAAAGGGTGGTGAGGTTCTAAGGAGTCGAAGCTTCCCAGAACAAAGCTTTCTCGAATAGCTGGGAATAGCTCTGGACCCCAGGGATGGGGAGAAGTGCTTTTATACCCCAGGAGTCAGAGATTACTAGGATTGCAAAACTCTAACGGGGCAGGGTGTCCAAAGGTTGAATCAGGGGCCGGGCTACTGCATCATAGTGACGCAGTTGTTCCTTACACCATTTCTAACTGAAAACCATAAATCATTATTTGATATATTATACAACAACAGTATCAATTATGCAACGCACCAACGAAACGAATAATGTAACTATCCTTCTTACTGGTCATAATTAGGCCCCTATATAAAAAACCGACAAAAATTATTAGGAAAAAACCACCTGTCTAGAAACAATGTGGCTTGTTTTTGCATCACGAGCCGCAGCAGCTGCAGCATTACTGTTCGACGATTCGTTGATACTGGAAACAAAAGAGGGCCGAAGTGCCACAACTGGTCTTGGTGCGATCAGTAACTGCAATGCTTAGTTCTCTTAGTTTCAGTCCCTGATGAAAATACTAAGAAAACCAAGATTGTCCGGCCTGTCAATGCAGATATGCGACATTAGTGATGTTACTGGGATACTCTCACATGCTACGCGCGGACGATAAAACAGCGAGGAAAGGCAAATTATAAATAAAAAAAGTGGCATTACCCAAACTAATCACCATATTAAATATCACGGAAAGGGAACTCGAGTCAAGAGACGGGACATTTGCACAAAACATGGAATCGAAGGACAACTAGGCAGAGCAAAGGGGTATGGCCAAAAGTCTCGTTTCCTTGCCGTTAACACCTTGTGCAAGAATACGGAAAATCTGCTGTTATTAAATGAACAACCAAAAGCCCTCTAAAATGATTCGCTTATTCGTTTTAACTCCAAATGGGACTGGATATACCAGGAAGTCAAACCCGCCATCAGCTTGCTTGTAAGCAGTCCTCAAGAGCACGGTCTGATTGTTCAATGTTTTATGCACTACACACCGATAACGAACGAATCTTGGGAAGGTACAGCTAGCCCTCGCCGACAGATTTGAATCAATCGAGGACAGATATATGGAACTGCAAGGAATGATTACTTGTAAACTAACCTGTGAATTTCCCGGTTTTGTGGTAAATTCTCGAACTGGCTGATCCAAAAGTGCAACTTTTTTCGCAATACGTGCCTCAACATCAGCTGCTCTCACCGTTGTATCATGTTCTGGAACAGATGTCCGTCTTTCTTGCACACCGATTGTTCCCGGAAATGAGGTGACCCGGGAATTACCCAAAGTGCTCGAACTTCCATTGGTCTTCAGCGAATTTTGGCTTTCAATGCTGTGTAGTACGGTGCTGAAATAATTTCGAACAAAAATACGGTATTGGAATAACTGAGATAATTATGAAAAGCAATACTTTGATGCTTCTACCCATCAGCTCTTGATCAAATGGCATATGCCAATACCAATTAACCATGAAAACGAATGAAACGAAACCGTACAATTAACAGTGAAATAGTAGAACGGAAGGATTGGTCTTAAGTGTCATGTGCCGAAGGACAATTTTTTACGATGCAGTTAGTCTGCATTTCATCCCTTAGCTATAAACACAGACCAAGCAATGTGTATGGGTAGAAGCGGGAATTATCAGTAC